TTCCAAAACTGACCACCTTAACCCGAAACCCTAAACTCCAAACCCTAAACCTCCAAACCCTAAACCCCAAACCCGAAACCCTAAACCGCCCGCCATCTCTGAGACCCCAGGAACCAGGCCTCTAGCAGCCACAACCAGGCGAGCCAGCCAGGCAGCTCCCTTAGCCAGCAGCAGGGTTTAGGGTTTAGGGGGGGATAGGGTTTAGGGTTTAGGGTTTAGGGCTTAGCGCTTATATAGGGCTTAGGGTTTAGGGTTTTGGGGTTCGGGGCCTGGGGCCCTGCTCCCTAAACCCTATAAACCCTAAACCCTGAAGATTCGGAGCGGTTGCGGTTCAGGGTTTAGGGTCTAGGGCTTCGGAGGTTTGGAATAAGGCTCCTGGCAGGCCTGCGACATGTTTTCGTACTTTCACAAGAACCGGCCCATGTGCGGTGTGCCTAAACCCTAAACCCTAGACCCTAGACACTAGACCCTAAACCCTTCTTTTTGCGCGTTGTTCGGAGCCATTGTTTGACAAATACGAGGGGGGGGGAAGTGTCGCAGACCCTGGGCCGCTGGTGTGGTGCCCAACTGCTTTGCAAGAAGTAACCTAAACCTGAAACCCTACAGCCGAAACCCTGAGATTCAGAGCCTTAGGACTCTGAGTCCCAGCAAACACCCACAAAGCCCTACAACCTGAGCACTACACCCCAAAGCCCTGAATCCCGAGCGACCGGGGCCCTCCCTATTCGCCCTCTTCTGAAGGACAGACATAACAAAGAGAGAGAGCGAGAGAGAGACATAGGACCAAGAAACAAGAAGGCTACTCTAACCCTAAACCCTAAACCCTAAATCCTAAGCCCTAAACCCTACACCCCAATCCCTAAACCCTAAACCCTAAACCCTAAACCCTAAACCCTAAACCCTAAACCCTAAACCCTAAACCCTAAACCCTAAACCCTAAACCCTAAACCCTAAACCCTCCCTCTCAGGCCGCGGACTGCGGCAGGGGTGGCAGCGCTAAGATCCCGCTTAGGAGGGCCTTGTAGCAGATGGCAGACCTCCAGCTTCTTCGGCATTTGGGAGCTTACGAAAGATAAGGGTTTAGGGTTTAGGGTTTAGGGTTTAGGGTTTAGGGTTTAGGGTTTAGGGTTTAGGGTTTAGGGTTTAGGGTTTAGGGTTTAGGGTTCAGCAGCTCCGGATCGAGCAGATTTACGGCTCGGATATAACACCCACCCACCCAGAGACATTAAGAAACTATAAAGTATCTTCATACAAAAGTTGGGGTGGGAACGTGCCTTGCCCACGATTTTTGTGCCTTGCCCACGAATTTTTGTGCCTTGCCCACGAGTTTTTGTGCCTTGCCCACGAATTTCGGTGCCTTGCCCACGAATTTTGGTGCCTTGCCCACGAATTTTGGTGCCTTGCCACCAATTTACGTGCCCGAAAATACGTGGGCAAGGCACAAAATTTCGTGGGCAAAGGCACCAAAATTCGTGGGCAAGGCACAAAACTCGTGGGCAAGGCGAGGCCACCAATTTGAGTGCCTGGCCCACGACTTTTTGTGCCTTGCCCACGAATTTTTGTGCCTTGCACGAATTTTGGTGCCTTGCCCACCAATTTTTGTGTTTTGGCATGAATTTACGTGCCGAAAATTCGTGTGCAAGGCACAAAATTTTGTGGGCAAAGGCACAAATATTCGTGGGCAAGGCACAAAATTCGTGGGCAAGGCACAAAATTTCGTGGGCAAAGGCACAAATATTCGTGGGCAAGGCACAAAATTCGTGGACAAGGCACAAAAATTCGTGGGCAAGGCACATTTTTGGGTTTTAAGCCTTGCCCAAGGGCCCAAAAATCCGAAATGTGCCTTGTCCACGAATTTTTGTGCCTTGCCCACGAATTTTTGTGCCTTCCCAACGAATATTTGTGCCTTCGTCCACGAAACCCATTAGGGTTTATATATATATATATATATATATATATATATTTATTTATTTATTTATTTATTTATTTATATATAGAAAGAGAGGTTTAGGGTTTAGGGTCGAGGGTCTAGGGTCTAGCGCTAGGGTCTAGGGTCTAGGATCTAGGGTTTAGGGTTTAGGGCTTAGTGTTTAGGATTTAGGGTTTAGGGTTTAGGGTTCTAAAACAGACCCCCAAATAGTAGGAGTCCCTTATAATAAGGACTCCAATAAGTTACCCCTAGTTTCGGAAACCCATTTGTGGCTTACTTTTTGGAGGGGGGAGGGGGCTGAGGGTTCATGTGGAGGTGGCCGCGTGGTTGGGGTTTAGGTTTGGGGCTTGGGGTTTATGGTTGGGGTTTGGGGCAAGCTGAGCCACTCAATCTTTTGCAGCCCAGTATCAATCTAGCAAAGCCATAATCCCCAAACCTACACAGCTCCTCCCGGCCACGGCCTTAGGGCTTAGGAGGGTAGGAGTTTAGGGCGCAGGATTCCTCCATCATTTCTGACTGTTAACCCAGTAAGCCCGCGGCCTGTCCATTTCCAGGATCAGAAGTCCTGGACCTCGAAGGACAGAGTAGTAGTTCGGGGTTTGAGGCTTTAGCGTTCTTTGGGTTTCAAGATTTTTGGTTTAGGGCTTAGGGTCTGAAGACTTTTTGGTTTCCGAGGGTGGTTAAGTGTGGGAGGAATTTTGGGCTTCAGAGCTTGCGGAAGCATTCCAAAACCCGAAAATCCCCTAAGCCCTACCCAGACCCCTGGGAAGATCCAAAAAGTAGATCCCCTTACAGGTTCCTAAGAATTACCCAATAGTAGTATAGGGTACTATTTGGGGGCTCTACTTTTTGGATCCTTCCAGGGGTCTGGGCAATTTTGGGGCTTGGGGTTTCCAGGGCTTTGGGGGATTATGTTAAGTTATCGATTTGTGTGTTGCTTCGCTTCGTTGGGGGGGAGGGTTGCAGACGTTACGGCTTTGGGGTCTGGAGTGTGGTGGGATCGCCACTGAGGGGCCCTTGCAAAGAACCTCCCTAAACCCTAAACCTCGAAGGTTTAGGGTTTAGGCTTTAGGATTTGTAAGGGTTTCGGCTTCAGGGTTCAGGGCTTCTGGAAAAAAAAAACCTATCAGAAGCCCTGTAAGCTAATTGTGGGTGTGCGAAGAGTCCCATCTCTGTGCTCTAAACCTTAGGATGCTCCCCACTTATACTTACAGTCCATCATAAGGATTATAATCGGGATAAGGGTTTAGGGTTTAGGGCTTAGGGGTTAGGGTTTAGGGGTAGTATAAAGGGGAACATCCCAACCTAAATCCTAAACCCCAAAAGTGAAGCTCGAAGTCGCTGGGGTGCCAACCGGCGAGGACCACCCAAAGGAACACAGCAGTCACAAGCGGCGCCTGCAGGGCTTTAGGGCTTAGGGTCTAGGGCTTCGGGCGTAGGGCTTAGGGTGGTATGGGTCTTGTGAGGACCTGATCACTTGAGTCCTGAATTTGTCACTCTAGCTGCGAGGGTTTTTTTTAAGGGAATGCGGAAAGCTGAAAGACTGCACCCCCCAAGACACTGTAAATGCTAAGTGCAACGAACTCTGACACAAGTCGTCACCCTAAACCCTGAACCCTTATAAACCCTAAACCCTAAACCCTACACCGTAAACCCTAGGGTTTAGGCAGTATCTTCTTACATCCTGCGGCCGGGCTATCTGAGCAAGAGGACTGTCGCACCCACTAAATCCTAAACCCGCTGCTCCCCTAGCCGCCCTAAACCCAAGCGACCCATCCCCCTCCCTTCCAACCCCCCCCCCCCCCACCCCCCCCCCCCCACCCCCCAACCCTCCCCCCCCCCCCCCCCCCCCCCCCCCCCCCCCCCCCACCACCCCCCCCCACCCCCCCCCCCCCCCAAAAAAAAAAACAGAACCTGCACCCAGAATCGGCTCGCCAGCACCAGACGTCTAGCCTTGGGCGGCATCCGGAGAGCTTCCGGGCTTCAGGAACTGGCGAGCTCTTAACTTGCTAGCCCAGGAACAATAATCGAGTAATGACAATAATCAAATCACAATGAACATAAGAATCAGAATAAGAATGATAATCAGAATAAGAATAAGAATAAGAATCAGAATAAGAATAAGAATAAGAATAAGAATAAGAATAAGAATAAGAATAAGAATAAGAATAAGAATAAGAATAAGAATAACAAAAAACAACAATAAGAAAAAGTAATAATAATAGTAATAATGATAATACGGGTACCCTTTCTGGGATTGTTTACTTTAAAAGCGAACCCTGGACCCCAAGAAAGGGGCAACAGGGCACGACTGGGCTGCCCAGCTTCAGAAAGACTTGGAGGAATTTGGCAACTTGTATCTTGCATCCTCCTACATTCCCCTTTAATGGGCGAGTGCTTCGGGAATTGTGCCTGCTATCCCTCTATGGGTACCCTTGTAATGGTTACTCTAGGGCACCTAGGTCTCACATTCCCCCTAAACCCTAAGCCCTAAACCCTAAACCCTAAACCCTAAACCCTAAACCCTAAACCCTAAACCCTAAACCCTAAGTTAACGGCGCAAGAGATGCCCAGTCTCGACTTTGGGACATACAGTTCGGGTGTAGGGTTCAGGGTTTAGGGTTTAGGGTTTAGGGTTTAGGGTTTCGGGTTTAGGGTTTAGGGTTTAGGGCCTAGGGTCTAGGGTTTAGGGTTTAGGGTTTCGGGTTTAGGGTTTACGGCTTAGGGCTTAGGGTGTAGGATTCAGGGTTCAGGGTTTAGGGTTTTGGGTTTAGTGTCAAGCTTCGGCTCGGTTTTCAGGGAAGCCTCAAATCCCTGAGAGTCTCAGCGCCCTCTCAACCCCAAGCAATCTAGAACCTCAGCCCTAAACCCTAAACCCAAAACCCTAAACCCCAAACCCCAAACCCTAAACCCTAAACCCCCAACCCGAGAGTCACATACGTCCTTGAGTCCCAAAACCCCAGAATTTTGAACCCGAGGCCAGGAGCCCTAAACCCTATATAAACCCTAGACCCCGAAAATTCTCTCTCTCTCTCTCTCTCTTATATACACAGACCTTAAACTTAAACTCTTAGTCGGCATAGGCACGCCCGTTCGTCGGCATAGGCACAACGGTTGGTCGGCATGGGCACGCCTCTTGACTTAAGCACAACGGTTCGTTGGCATAGGCACGCCGGGTTCGTCGGCATAGAAACAACGGGGGCCCTGGACAATTCTCCCAGTAGGGCTCCGGGAGACCCCGGGACAGCCTGGGACCAATGTCCGGGGTGGCCCCGATACAACCCGTCTCGGGGCGGGCTCCCGGTTTCATGGATTGAGTGAACCTTGTATTCTCTTCATGGTATGGGATTGCTTGGAAAGCTGCTTGACCAGTGCGAGCTCGAACATGAGATGCTAAACCCTAAACCCTAAATACTAAACCCTAAATCCTAAACCCCCTAATCTGGGTGGCCCGGCCCAGGACTCTCCCACGGCCGGTTCGCGCCGGAGACGACAGCAACAGCAACAAGATGCACAGCAGGCCTCCACACACGGCCAGGTAGGGTTTAGGGTTTAGGGTTTATAGGGTTTATAGGGTTTATAGGGTTTGTAGGGTTTATAGGGTTTGTAGGGTTTATAGGGTTTATAGGGTTTATAGGGTTTATAGGGTTTATAGGGTTTATAGGGTTTATGGGGTTTATAGGGTTTATAGGGTTTATAGGGTTTACAGGGTTTATAGGGTTTATAGGGTTTTTAGGGTTTTTAGGGTTTTTAGGGTTCAGGTTCAAGGTCCAAAGTTTATTGGCATTCGGGTCCAGGGGTTCGGGTGTGGGTGGGTGAGGCCCTCAACTCAGACTCTCCAAGGCCCTGCAAGTACAAGGAATAACCCTGATTTCCAACACGCATCCGAGAGCTTGTGAAGAGACATATATACATATATACATATATATATATATGTACAGATTTCATGTATTGAATTATTTATCTATTCACACACACACACACACACATATATATATATATGCATATACACATAGATATAGATGTATGTGTGTGTGTATGCTCTATATATATATATGTGTGTGTGTATACATTTGTAGATAAATGTGGTGTAAACGTCACTTATTTACTGTGTAAATGTGCTAAATTTATACATGCTTAGGTTAAGGGGCTAGCGGAGTGTAGGGCTTATGGTTCTGCAGCCTCACGGTTCAGGGTCCTTTAGGTGTTTTTCAGGGTTTGGGGTTTAGGGGTTGAAAGGTCAGTCCAAGCGCCCTGTGAAGCAAGTGCTTAGGGTTGAGAGCTTCTGGCTGAGGACCCCCCAAAACCCTAAAGCCTAAATCCGAGGCCTGCCAAAAGGCCAGGCACCACAGCACCACGAGCAGGGCCAGCGCGAGCCACTGGGAGAGCCACATGCGCCAACTGTCCTGCTTCAACTTTTAGCGGGAGGAACGCATACACCCACTAAGCCTCCAAGATCTTGTTATCCCTAAGCCCCGACCCAAACTTAGGGTTTGGGGTTTAGGGTTTAGGGTAGGGTTTAGGGTAAAGATTAGGGTTTGGGGTTTAGGGTTTAGGGTTCAGGGTTCAGGGTTTAGGGTTTAGGGTTTAGGGTTTAAAGGCTTAAGGGGTTTAGGGTTTAGGGGTTAGGGGTTAGGGGTTAGGGTTTAGGGCAGGCCCTGTGGCCGCAACCCTTCAACCGCCAAAAGCCCCTCCAAAGCTCTCACCCGCCTCCGAAACCGCAAACCTTGGACGCTGAACCCTAAACCCTAAACCCTAGAACCTAAACCTTAAACCCTAAACCCTAAACCCTGAACCCTGAACCCGGTCCTTCACGCAGATCTCCCAGCAGGCTTGCCCCTCGCTTCGCCTGTGGCCGTGGGCTTTCGGTCTAAGGGATAATGTGGTTTAGGGTTTAGGGTTTAGGGTTTAGGGTTTAGGGTTTAGGGTTTAGGGTTTCGGGTTTCGGGTTTCGGGTTTCGGGTTTCGGGTTTCGGGTTTCGGGTGTAGGTGTGAACGGGCCTGTATTCCCCTAGACTTGGGCTTATGAAGGCAAACATGTTGGGATGGTGGGCCCTCTTACATCCTAGGTCTCAGTAAGTCCTATACCTGGCTCTCTAACCTACTTAACCATCCCCACATGTTAGGGTTTAGGGTTTAGGGCTTAGGGTTTAGGGTTTAGGGTTCAGGGTTCAGGGTTGAAGGTTTAGGGTTCAGGGTTCAGGGTTCAGGGTTTTGGGTTTAGGGTTTAGGGTTTAGGGTTTAGGGTTTAGGGTTTAGGGTTTAGGGTTTAGGGTTTAGGGTTTAGGGTTTAGGGTTTAGGGTTTAGGGTTTAGGGTTTAGGGTTTAGGGTTTAGGGTTTAGGGTTTAGGGTTTAGGGTTTAGGGTTTAGGGTTTAGGGTTTAGGGTTTAGGGTTTAGGGTTTAGGGTTTAGGGTTTAGGGTTTAGGGTTTAGGGTTTAGGGTTTAGGGGTCCTGGTGAGGTCTCGTCTTTCCGGGCATCAAACCCAGGCCGCTGTCAGGAGCAAGTTTTCCAAGTTATGGGGTCCCTTCTGGGGTGTAGGGTTTAGGGTTTAGGGTTTAGGGTTTAGGGTTTAGGGTTTAGGGTTTAGGGTTTAGGGTTTAGGGTTTAGGGTTTAGGGTTTAGGGTTTAGGGTTTAGGGTTTAGGGTTTAGGGTTTAGGGGTCATTGTACGGGTGCCACACATGGGACCCCAAACAGGGACCCGAAGTTTGCGAACTACCCATATTCCAGACCCTTTTGGCTTACAGGGGCTTATACAAGGGAACCTAATGCCTAAAAAAGGGGAATAAGGGCCTACTCTGGGTCCTAGCATTCCCTGCATCATCCAGGGGGTGAGGTTATAGGGTCCTTCAGGGTCGCCCTAAACCCTAAAACCCTAAACCCTAAACCCTAAACCCTAAAACCTTAAAACCCTAAACCCTAAACCCTAAACCCTATATAAACCCTAACCCTAAACCCTAAACCCCAAACCCGACACCCCAAAAGAGAGCGCGCCTCACCGTCCCAACGTACAGCCCTCGGCGCGAGATGTCGTCACAGGGCATCAGGAGATCCTCCACACATCCAATCTGATCCCTGCAAAACCCCATGTGGGGGGGGGGGGGGGTTACGAAAGTATGGCTTAGGGGTTACGGGTTAGGGTTTAGGGTTTAGGGTTTAGGGTTTATGGTTTAGGGTTTAGGGTTTAGGGTTTAGGGTTTAGGTTTTCAGGGCTAGGGTTTTAAGGGCTAGGGTTTTTTAGGGCTAGGGTTTTCAGGGCTAGGTAGGGTTTAGGGTTTAGGGTTTAGGGTTTAGGGTTTAGGAGTTAGGGTTTAAGGTTAAGTTTAAGGTTTATGGTTTAGGTCTAGGGGTACCTAAGTGGGGGTCCTTATTGTCAGGGAATCCTACTGCTTGGGGTCCTATTTTAGGGTCGCCTTTTTTCGTAAAGCCCCATGTGTTGCGAGGAAGACCCAAGTAGGTTCAGTAACACTCAGTGGTCTGGGGGTTTAGGGTCTAGGGAGTTTAGGGAGTTTAGGGGGTCTAGGGGGTTTAGGGGATTAAGGGGATTAAGGGGTTCAAGTGGTTTAGGGTTTAGAGGATTTCGTGGATTTAGGGGATTCAGGGTCTGGGGGACAGCGCACAGACGCTCCAGTCCTCCTCTGGCTCAACCTGATCTTCGCCTGGTGCGGAGGAGCATGGCATGCTGGCTACGAGGATTTTGGAGGTTTCCGACAATAGGGGACCCACATATATATATATATAAACACATATATATATATATATTTATATTTATATATATATACATATATATCATAGCCAAATAGTAGGATCCCCTTATAATAGGGGTTCCCATACTAAGGGTTATAGCATCTGGGGATATATTAGGGAAACCCCTATTTGGTGGAATGCCCATTTGGCAGTATCGGCGCCCTTGCTCGCGGCATGCGGAGTGAGAGAGACAGTGAGCGAGGGAGAGGCACTGGCAAACGTGTACCCGGATTTTCCTGAACCAGAAACCCGAAACCCGAAACCCTAAACCCGAAACCCTTAACCCGAAACCCGAAACCCTAAACCCTAAACCCTAAATCCTAAACCCTAGCGGGAAGAAAGCCTTCGTCTTCCGGCCAATCTGCCACAGGAGCTTTTGCCAGGAGGTTGCCTGGAGCAACGGCTCTGACGCTTGCAGGTAAACGCTCAGCTCTCTTAAGACTGCATAGGTTTGCGGGCTGTTTAGCTTCTAGCCCAGAGAGTAACCTAGGAATAAAAACGGTGCCCTTGTTGGTTTAAAAAGGGCTTATAGGGGAACCAGGATTCGGGTCAAGGGCCCGCAAAACCTAGGGGATAGGATTAGGGGGACCCTTGGGGATATAGACCCTCTGAATAAGGTCCCTTGTTAAGAGAGCCAGAAGAGGGTTAAGAAGGGGTTCCCTTTTAAGGGTCCCCCTTATCCCACCTAGGAAAACCCTAAACCCTAAACCCTAAACCCTAAACCCTAAACCCTAAACCCTAAACCCTAAACCCTAAACCCTAAACCCTAAACCCTAAACCCTAAACCCTAAACCCTAAACCCTAAACCAAGCCCAAAGCAGATCTCCAGTTCTAACACAACAGCGGAGGACTGCCTGAAGTCGTGGCCGAAAAGATTGATTGGGTTTCTGTGGGTTGTTTTATAAAGTAAGGTCCTGTATGATAGATAAGGTTTAGAAGAGAAAGCCAGGGTTGAGGGTTTAGGGTTTAGGGTTTAGGGTTTAGGGTTTAGGGTTTAGGGTTTAGGGTTTAGGGTTTAGGGTTTGGGGTTTAAGTCTTTTCAACGGGGACCGGAACGCAAGGCAGCCCCAAAGTGGAATGCACGAAACGTGCATCCAAGTCTTCTTCGCTTCCAGGTGCTTCGCACTAAGTAATACGTAAGCTTGGAGACTCTACCTGCCTCTAGCTCATGATCTACTATTTGCTTAAGAACCCCAAAAGAATAAAACATAATAATCCTTATATTATATGCCCCTTATATAATAAGGAATACTTGTTGTCTTTTTTTTTTGGGGGGGGGGGGCGTTCTTAAGCAATTCGTAGTGATCCAAAACCTGTACGTTCCTACGAACATGCAGAGCCTCACTATTTGATTTAAGGAGCTGCTCAGGTACGCCTTCCTGATGCGAAGGAGGCAGAGGAATCAGGAACCTCTGTGCAAAACAAACGTCTCATGGTCCAATTCTCGATGCCCTCACATCCGCGATGTCTGACGCAACACAGACAAGCGCACCTTTCAGCAAAAACAATACACCCTAAGCCCTAAACCCTAAACCCTAAACACATACCCCGAGTCTCACGCCCGCCTGGATCCACTTGGGGAGCTCGCGTTGTCAGCACCAGCTGATCCGGAAGGCCCTGAAGGAAAGAGCTGCTTCTTGATGCATGGTGTTCGGGTTTCACCCTAAACCCTACACACTAAACCCTAAACCCTAAACCCTAAACCCTAACCCCTAAACCCTAAACCCTACACCCTGTTTCAGGCTTCTCTGCGTCACCCTCGAGCCCTTGCTTGCAGAGGGCACGAAGTTCTGTTGGCTCTTTTCTGGAATCTAAGCAGTTTAGGGTTTAGGGCTTAGGGTTTAGGGTTCGGTTTAGGTTTAGGGTTTAGGGTTTAGTATTTAGGGTTTAGGGTATAGGGTTTAGGGTTGAGGGGAGGAACAGCTTCGTTGTTTGGGGGGGGTCTCCCCAGACCCCAAACCTTACAGAGGGCGCGAAGGAGGCCCCAACTTGCTGTCCCACGAAACCCTAAACCCTAAACCCTAAACCCTAAACCCAAGGGGTTGGGGGTTTAGGGCGTAGGGTTTGCTATACTGAACTTGGAACCCTGGGAAAAAACACTAATCTTAGCGCTGTTTCTGAGGAATTATAGGTACTACCCAGAAATTGAAAGTTATTACCACCCTAAACCCTAAACCCTAAACCCTAAACCCTAAACCCTAAACCCTAAACCCTAAACCCTAAACCCTAAACCCTAAACCCTAAACCCTAAACCCAGCATCCCTAGGTTGAGGGGAAGATCTTGCACCGACAGCCTCACAGCCAATGCCGACGTGCTTGCAGCAGTACTTCTTCTTGTCCAGGGACCTTAGGCGCGGAGGCCCGAAGCACAACCCTAAACCCGAAACCCGAAGCCCAAACCCTGCGCGGCGCCCGAAACCCTAAACCCTAAACCCTAAACCCTAAACCCTAAACCCTGAACCCTAAACCCTAAACCCTAAACCCTTCGTCAACCTCTACTCATCAGCCGACTGTACGTTGTAAACTGCCCACCCAAAATACCCATGCCATGTTTAGGGTTCAGGGTTTCGGGCTTCGGGTTACGACCCGTGAGCCCAGAACCCTAACTAAAGCTAACAACCTGACACCCTACACCCTCACCCTAACTCCTCGTGTAATCCCAGAACAACGACGTGGAGAAACGAATCCCATGACCGGATGCACTTTGCTGGATTCTAGGGTTTAGGGCTGAGGGTATTGTTTGAGTCATTGTGGGAGTCGTCTTATTCTGCGTTCAGGTATATGGCTTAATCTGAGCCCTAAACCCTAAACCTAAACCCTAAACCCTAAACCCTAAGCCCTACAACCGGCCCCCTCTGGGGGCAGGCGCCACGCTAGCTTGTAGTTCTGGAGCGCCACGCTACAGTGGAAATCTTCCTCCACAAAGATGCCATGAGGAGTCGGGGGTAGGGCTTCGGGTTTGGTTAGGGTCTAGGGTTTTGTGTTTAGGGTTGAGGGTTGACGGTCGTCTATGCAATTCCAGTGCAAACGATACCTGCAACATCGAATCTTATCACAGAAGGTCGGAGAAAGCAGGGTTTAGGGTTTCAGGTTTAGCCCTGTAACTTACGAGATCTGACAGTAAGGAACTGAGAATAATGTGGCACTCTTTGTCCTCCTATAAAACCCTAAACCCTAAACCCTAAACCCTAAACCCCAAACCCTTTCATGGTACCTGCCTCCCACAACTCCCCACGGAGGACTCCATGTGTCAAGGGCTCCATGGGTTTCAGGGTTTAGGGCTTAACGGCTTAGGGCTTAGGGTTTAGGGTTTAAGGGTTTAAGGGTTTAAGGGTTTAGGGATTAAGGGCTTAGATAAAATGTTTGGAGTTTATCAACTTCAGGGTCTTCTTTCCAAGCTCTAGGGTCTAATTAGCTGCCTGAAGTGTCTGATTATATGGTCTAAAGCTTTTGGGTAAAAGGTTTGGGGTGAGTGCTCGAGGCCGCACGCTGACATTGATTGAGCTCATGAGAATATCGAGAGATGCTCTGTCAAAATCCAGTGCATTTTCGCGAAAATCACCGCGGCCGAATGCATGGTGCTTCGATTAGGTTTAGGGTTTAGGGTTTAGGGTTTAGGGTTTAGGGTTTAGGGTTTAGGGTTTAGGGTTTAGGGTTCAGGGTTCAGGGTTTGGGGTTTAGGGCTTAGGGCTTAGGGCTTAGGGCTTAGGGTTTAGGGTTTAGGGTTTAGGGTTTAGTGTTTAGTGTTTAGGTTTAGGGTTTAGGGTTTAGGGTTTAGAGTTTAGGGTTTAGGGTTTAGGGTTTTGGGGCTTTTGGTTTAGAATTGTCGGCGGCTTCTCCGCGTGGGCCGCATGCTGAATCAGCGAGCTGTGATTGAGGCGGAACCATATTAGAGGCGGAGCGGTTCAGGGAACCCTAGACTGTAATGGCTTCAATTATGCAGCTGGGGAACTCATGGAACGGGTTCGTGGGTTTAGGGGTGAATTTTAGGCTCCGGTGTTCGTACACTGGGGTTTCAAGCCTTAACACCTTACCCCTGCGCTTAGAAGGCCCTGAGTAACCAAAGCCCTAAGCCCCAACACCTAAACCCTAAACCCTAAACCCTAAACCCTAAACCCTAAACCCTAAACCCTAAACCCTAAACCCTAAACAGCCCGTCCACGCCCGCGGGACTTCCCAGAGCCGTCCTCACAGGCGATCCCCTCGTGCTCACAGCACCAGGCCCGCTTCTCGTGGGACCTCAGAAGATTGACCACGTTCAGGCTTCAAGGGTTTAGAGTTTAGGGTTTAGGGTTTAGGGTTTAGGGTTTAGGGTTTAGGGATTAGGTTTTTGATGGGGCCTTGACAGTGTTCAAGCTTTAAGGGTTTAGGGCTTTCTTAGGGTTTAGGTTTTAGGGTTTAGGGTTTTGGGTTTTGGGTCTTAGGGTTTGGGGACCTCTGGGGCCTGAGTTGCCTAGGGCTCAGGCTTGGGGGGGGATTTGGGTTTGGGGGGCGTCCGTGGTTCTACAGAGGGATTGAGTCACCAGTCACCCTAACCCCGAACTAAGCCCGACCTTCAACCCCCTAAACCCTAAACCCCAAACAGCTCAGCTAACCCTCACACCCCGAAACCCTGAGCCCTAGCGCCAGTGCCCAAAACCCTGAATCCCGATGTTCACGCTGAACCCAGTAAGCCCCAGAGCCCTAGACCCTTAACCAAGCCCTGAGCCCTGAGCCCTAAGCCCTCCCCTCAGTTGGGGCTATTGCGGCTATTGGCGATTCTTGCGGTGCGGACGGATATCGTCATGATAGTGGTAACCTGTACTGTCAACAGAAAAAACATAAACGACCATAATAAGAGGAAAGAACTAAACAACCGAAGCACAGTCAACAGTCTCGTCCCACCACTTTTGCTGCTGACCTGCTGGCCTGGCACAAAGGTGTTCGTGCTTCAGCGCTGACTCGGATATCTATCATCAAACACATGCGCCTTCAAGTACTCGCTGGCATCGGAAGGACTTCGCTGGAAGAAATCGAGAAAGTAGATTCGCAAGCGCTCAAGCTCCCGATCTTCACTTTGCCACTTCCAACCGTCGACTCTCAGTAAATTGCTTGCACTAGCTTCATCGACATGTGTGCCGGGGGCAGTTCCGTCGCATGTGACAAAGACTACTGAAGCCCTTAAGAATCTCGCACCATCTGTGATGTCTTCGAACTCATAGATTACAGTTTCCAAATTCAAGATTTGCATGGGCGTCTGCGACCTGTCATGGAGAGCCGAGGGGTTCTGGCGACTTAGGTCACCGTGGACGAGCCAAACGCTTCTGCCGGGAGTGGTCGTGTCCTGCAAAGTTCGGTGCCTCTGGGCACCGTCGGCTACCCAGTCCATGGATGTCGCTGACCCCAGAAACTCCTCCAAGAGAGCTACGGCATTCCAGGCTGCCTTAGTGCTGCGGAAGCCAAGCTGACAAAGGCCTTCATCTTGCTTCTCGAGAAGAAACTGAACCAACTCTTTGGCAAACGGTCGAATGTGGGTGTCCTTTCGAATGTCAGTTTTTGACCCGCTGTACCGCAGAAGAGTGTGCTGGAGATCAAGCAGGATCAAGTACTTGTTCTCTGCCTGCGGCAGGCCTAGTGAATCTGCTTCCGTGATCGAAGTACTCGGTTCTTCCGTGCTTGCACCGGTTGGTCGGCTTGATTCAGTGAAGATTTCACCGTCTGGCACATATCTTCCGCAATAAGGACAGCCTCTGATGCGGCAGGCATTCTCTGCACAGACATGAAGGGCTCTGTCTTCACCTGTACATGCGCAGTGAAACGCTTGAGGCGCATAGCTCCCACAGCAGCAGCAGTGCGGCATGGGCACAAGAGACTGATGTCGCTACGGACCAAAAAGCCATATGCAGTGTACATGACTGTATGTAGTGTCTACAGTAGGCTACATTTATATAACGCAACCAAACTCCAAAAGTCTCTAAGTCTCTGGGTCTATACGTGTAACAGTCGAGCCCAAAACTTCCAAGTTTACAAACCGAAGCCAGTCAACTCCATGGGGCTGCAGGCAGTGAAGCAAAACTTGCAAATACATTTTGTTTGTCGACATAACCACATATCCATGCATATAATATATATATATATATATAGATATATATATATATATATGTATGTATATGTATACATCGGTATATACACATATACATGTGCTACATATGTATATATATATATATATGTATATATGTGTGTGTGTGTGTGTGCATTGCATATGAAGCTATACATATACTATATACACTAAATATGTACACATACATCTGTTTACATTCTTTATACATACGAATGAATGCATGTCATACGTCAAGACTCTCCATGACGATCCTCTCATCTACCTGCGAACCTCTCTCTGACTCCCATCCCACCCTACGAAACTCATGCATTGGTCCCAGAACCTCTGCAATGTCGCTGAATCTTGAACACAAACAGCATGCACCCCTGAAGTCGTAACTTTCAGGATCTCCTTCCTGAACGACTTTTGAAACACTCATCTTGCTTCTCGCATCTGAGAATGAACCCAAACCCTAAACCCTAAACCTCGCTGTTTCGGAAGACTTGCAAAGCCTGCTCCCTGAGGCACCGCACCAGGCTGCATTGGCCGAATCCCGGTCAACAGCGCAGTGAAAGACCACCTCACAAAAGGAAGGGCCCTAAACCCTAAACCCTAAACCCTAAACCCTAAACCCTAAACCCTAAACCCTAAACCCTAAACCCTAAACCCTAAACCCTAAACCCTAAACCCTAAACCCTAAACCCTAAACCCTAAACCCTAAACCCCACACCCTAAACCCCACACCCTAAACCCTAAACCCTGAACCCTTCGGGTTGCTAAGGGTTGCTTAGGGCCCTCCCAGACGAATGGGAGGATCAGCCGGGATTGTGCGGACCCGAGGGCTTGGCCAGTGTAGGGCCTGTAGGGCGTTGGGGTTTAGGGTTTAGGGTTTGGGGTTTAGGGTTTAGGGTTTAGGGTTTAGGGTTTAGGGTTTAGGGTTTAGAATTTAGGGTTTAGGGTTTAGGGTTTAGGGCTATCCCGCGATCCCAACATTCGGGAAGCCCGTTAGGCTCTTGTTTGGGCTTAAGGCCAGTCTAACATCAACCTGAACCGTAGAACCCCTGCAAGTCAGGGTTGAGGGTTGAGGGTTGAGGGTTGAGGGTTGAGGGTTGAGGGTTGAGGGTTGAGGGTTGAGGGTTGAGGCTTGAGGGTTTAGGTTTTAGAGTTTAGGGTTTAGGGTTTAGGGTTTAGGGTTTAGGGTTTAGGGTTTAGGGTTTAGGGTTTAGGGTTTAGGGTTTAGGGTTCGACCATGCCCCGAACCCTGCCTCGCCATGGCCGAGATGGACCTGGTAGGGCTTTGGGGCTGGAGGACAGTTTGGGGAGTTTAGGGTTTAGGGTTCTAAGGCTTAGAGTTTCGGGTTTAGGGTGTAGGGTTTAGGGTTTAGGGTTTAGGGCTTAGGGCTTAGGGTTTAGGGTTTAGGGTATAGATAGGGTTTAGGGTATAGATAGGGTTTAGAGTTTAGGGTTTAGGGTTTAGGGGTTCAAGGTCTAGGGTTAAGGGTTTCAAGGTTTAGGGTTTAAGAGTTTGGGGTTTAAGGTTTAGGGTTTCTCAGGGTTCAAGATTTAAGGTTTAGGCTTGCACGCATACTAAACATCAAGTTTCTGCTGATACCTTGGTAGCCCGGTAACCTTTTTATAATCCTTATACTCGTTTTGGGTTGGTTACTTTATGAAGGAACCCTGAACCAACTAAAGGGCAAAAAGAGCAAAGCCCAAAAGCCCAAAAGCCCAAACCCCAAAGCCCAAACCCTAAACCCTAAACCCTAAACCCTAAATCCTAATCCCTAAACCCTAAACCCTAAACCCTAAAGCCGAAACCCTAAACCCTAAACCCTAAACCCCAAACCCCAAACCCTAAACCCTAAACCCTAAACCCTAGCCCTAAACCCTAAACCCTGAACCCGACAATCCCAGCGCAGGATCCGACCTTCCACAACGTTACCAGGATGGCAACCCGGGAGCACCATACCATGGCCTTCTTGGCGCTTGAGAGGCGGGGGCTGTTTAGGGATGTTTAGGGTTTAGGGCTTCGGGTTTAGGGTTTAGGGCTATGGTTTAGGGTTAGGGTTTAGGGGTTAGGGTTTAGGCCTTAGGGTTTAGGGTTTAGGGTTTAGGCTTTAGGGTTTAGGGTTCGGATTTAGGGTTTAGGGTTTAGGCTTAGGGTTCCAGATGGATATGTGGTCTACCCTTTCTATGCCGCACCCTGATAAACCACTGCAAGAAGCCGTATATGAGGCACCCTTCTTGGTGCAACTTATGC